ATGGGGAGGGAAGGATTATTGGCCAGCACTCGTGCCAATGCACACATCATCAGAGAAGAGGTGTCAATGTTCTGAAAGATTACAAGCACACATGAATTAAAAAGAAATTCCAAGGATAAATGTGATTATTTTGTTGTATATTGTGTTTGAGATTTGAGCTGTGATATGGCATTTCATATAAATGTGTAAAATTGCTAACTACTGAGACATCAAGACAGAACAATGACTGGAAATAGTTACTTTTATGGATGTTCACTCTTTCAACTAACTCTACAAGTTAAAATACATATGTAATTCTTTACCTTCCAAGTGTAAAGTTAAAAATATTCCATGGTCCGTCTAAATACTCAAACTTTGATTGGCTGAAGGTGAGCAATACAACAATACAACAATATTTGTTTAGTGCATAGATAGTTCCAAGTCAATTTAATCACCATTCTATATTAATGCATTTTTGTCATTTGCACATGGACATCAAGCACCACCAGAACTGCCACCCCCAAGTCTATGCGACCTATTTGATACCACTCAACATCCCAGTAAAAAGGGAAAGCCTTTGCTTCCAATTCAGTTAAACTCCTCTGCGTTTGCAGACAATACAAATGGCGCAAACAAAGGATATCCAAGTTATAAAATCTGGCGACGATATTTGTCGATGACCAGCCAGCTGCCAGACAAACGTCTTAAATAGACTTTCTGCTCGCTCATCCCCAAGAGGATGCCATGTCTCTAATGAGCTCACAGCCCGCTCAGGCATTCCCTGCCAGGTGACGTATAAGACAGGGCTAATGTCACTGAATATTAAGGTCAAATCCCAAATTGGTATTGTAGATCTGCAAGGGGGGTTCAGACTTCTCACACCCCTCATAAACTTTATGACCAGTTCATCGTTTCTCACAGAACAATATGCATCCACTTCAAATGTTCTGTGTCAGGCACAAGCGGCAACATTCTAATCTGAAAAATGAAGCCTACCCGGAAGTGCGAAAAACTGCAATACATCTAAAATCCGCTAGAGGGAGGTCCCAAAAGGGAGCAAATATCCATAGATCCCATGTTAAAATGTCCGTTTTCACAGCATAAATTCATGCTTTTACAGGTTGGTCCCATGGACTTTTATTGTATTTTTCGATAGGTTACGAGTGCCAACTGTGAGGGGGGTGAATTTTTTTCTAACTCGTTATAGTTTAGATCGTATATAGATATAAAATGCATGACAAATAAGGGCGGTTAACTTTGATTGACTGCTGATAAAGGGCTGCGCCGAGTGGAATTTGACGTCTCGGCCATGATCTGACACAACACATCATACCACCTGTGTATCCTTTCTGAACATTTGTATTTCTCAAGATTTTCCAGTATGGCGCCGCCCATACCCCCCTTAAACAGCCTCAAACCCATTCTTCAGAGAGTCTGGGTGACGTCACAGGCGCTTTGTCCATATTTTTTACAGTCTATGGTCAGGCATGGCGAAGCGGCAAGATGCAATACAATGTAATGTACAGTCAAGGAGTGATGATGGGTCAAGTTATCAGGAGGAAAGCTGTCACTATGGACTATGGCTTGCATCGAAAGGGAATCTATCTCTATTCCCAAAAATAGATGGTCTGTGTAGCAATGTTTAAAGCTCAGGGATGAAGGAGACGACTAAACTTTATTATCAAAATAAACAGACACAAAATGAAAGTAAAGCTGCGGCCCTTCACGGATGACTGTCACATATAAACACAATAAAAACACAACATAAATGTCCAAGGCCTGGTCCTCCTTCCTCTCTCGTCCTCCACTGTCGTCACTCCTCCTTTTATCCTCCTGGAGCTCCTCTGTGAGAAACTCCATTCCAATGGCTCTCGCCCCCCGTCAAGCTTGCTATATACCCCCATCGCCCCACGCAGGCCGGGGGGTTCCTTTGAGACTGCGCTCCCCAGTCACCGCGGCTGTAAAATGAGATGGAAGGAAGAGTAGAGACAGAGACGAGAGAGGGGAGAAAGGAAAAAAAATACATTGCCGTTTGGTCCTCAACCAGCCAGGAGAACCTCTTCACATTGTCTGGCTGTGGCTACCCCAGGTGGACGTCCCACTTCTCCCCCTCTTCGTAATAAAACACAACATAAATAGACCAAGCCTTGTCCTCTCTCGTTCTCTTTCTGTCGTCAGTCCTCGTTTAGCTCCTCCGTGAGAATCCCGAGGCTGGACTCTGGCCTCACTCCATCCCCATGGCTTGGCACATGAACATAGCCGTTTTAATAACGGACAAATAACAAATAATGTTTTGGGAGTGTTTAGGGATGTGTAGATTGTTGACACGTAACTTCAAATTATTTATTGAAAATCTATATGTTTTTTAAGGGGAGGTGCATATCCTTAGCCTTACCCTGGAGTTGGCAAATTTTTCATCTAGAGATGAACACCATTCTGGTGTCATTGGTGAACTAACCCTTTAAACACTAATATAATGTAATAAGTACCTCACAAATACATTAGGACCTGATTGCACTGACAAGTTTAAGCCAGGGTTAGGCCTTAGTTCAATGAGGATATTTAGGTAGCTTTTATACACATGCCTTAGACTAGAGACAACATTACTGGTGTGCATCTTAAAGGGATAGTTCACTTTGAAATTAATTTTTGTTATGTTTTAGTTTACCTCAAGAGCATCCAAGATGTAGGTGTCTTTGTTTCCACAGTATTTTCAATTTTGATATTTTTAGGTCAATCCGTTCTTGTCTGTCAGTCATATAATGGAGGTCTATGGTCACCACCTCAAAGAGCACAGAGAAGTCTAAATTAAACATGATTTAATGACTCGTAAATGTAAGTACACATAATACACATTGATGGCCTAAGACACAAAACGAGGGGTTTGAGTGAGAAAACGAACAGTATTTATATCGTTTTTACCTCTTGTAATCACAGTCACGTCCAAGTACTCCGAGGACGAGGGCGCTTCTGTCTGCGCAAGCGCTGGCAAGCGCCGGAAGTGATCTCTCATGCGTGTACGTCACTCATTGTTTACACAGAGATTTCAGAAGTGTTACTTTTCTCTGTGAAGATCTAAACATATACAGGAAATTGTATACAGGAAATCACTTCCGGCGCTTTCCGTAAAAAAGGATATTTTTTGGTGTAAAAAACAAAAACAAATTTGCTAATATTATAAGTGGACTTCAGAGAACATTATAACATTTAAAAAATGCAGTGCATGATCATTTTATACATGTACAATTATAAAATATTAATAACAACAATACTGTTTAATTCATTATTTTATTAAGCAAATTCATAAAGTGTAATTCTTTTCATATGATATTTACAACATGTAAACAAACATATTTCTTACTCTGGTGAAAATTTACTGAAGAGCTTTCACTTTTCTTAAAGTTGTCTTAAACTAAAGTTAAGTTACGTTGTTACTTGTGTTATTATTGTTTTATTTAATTTAATACTTAATGTTATTAATTAAGTTATGAATGAATAATCCCACAAATTATATGTACATTTCAGACTTTTCATTGAAACATTCCGTGTTGCTGTATGTAAATTGCTATCTTGCTAAATTAATTTAGCATAGAATGATTTTATCTTTCAGATCATTTTTTAATAGGATTCTGGTTTGTCTGCCACCAGCTGTTCAATTATTTAACTATACTGCCAAAAAATATTTTAAATAAAATAGTTGATTTTTGGTTTAACATTAATGACACGTTTTAAATGTTAATAGGAATGATATCAAAAGTCATTTATACACATTGTGTAAAATTGTAGCCAGCAGGGCTAAACAAAGTGTAAAATTACCTTAAAATGGCCTCTTTAAATAATTTCATCAAACAAAATGCTCCTAACAATCACATTGGCTGATGCATCATCATTCAGCACATGCATATTGTTCTAAAGGGGGGGGGCATCCTCCCCCATCTTACCACACCTCAGACAGAAAACAACAGACAGATTTTTTAAAATGCTTGTCAGTGTCCGTCATCTCTCATCCCCTACTTCACAGATCAGCATCACATATCATCCCTGTTTCCCCCCAGGACCGCGAGGTTGTCAGGACAACCAGTGTGATTCTGATTCCAAGCAGCCAAGAAAAGACTCCGCCTCAAGACAGCAGCTGCTGCAGCCATCCGCCAATCAGAGCTGAGCAAGAGGGAAAAAGATGACATCATAGACAAATTAGGGCAAGTTGCAGCAGGTCTTTGTTTGGTGTAACTGCCCGCAGATTAATCATGTGTAGGCTGGGGTAAAGAGGTGACTTGTCTTGCTGTGCACTCAAGTGAACAATTCTTCAATTATCTATTAATTAACCATGAAAAAGGAGGTTAAAATGTCATTGGGTATTAATTTTTATTCATATTTGTTGTATCTTTTGCCAGCTTGCGATTTTCTCTAAATGTTTTAGAAAGCTGTCAGAAATTATTTTTGATTATTTTACTCATCGACATTAGTTATTGGATTGTATTTAATACATGTTTTCTGATAGCATGGTACCACACCGTGGTATTTGGAGCTCCAAGCTACATTATAGTGGTGCCCATAAAAATTAAACAAACATTTACTTGAAATTAAATGTTGTAATAAAGCCATAAAATGATATTAATACTAATGTTTTAACTCTGAATGAAACTGAGTCTGGATTTTATTAAAAAAATATATATTATGAATACTGATGTTTTTACTCTGTATGAAACTGAGTGTGGATTTTTATTTTATTTTATTAATACTGGTGTTTTAACTTCAAATAAAACTGAGTGTGTGTTTTTTTGTTTTATTTATTTATTTTAATTAATACTGATGTTTTTACTCTGAATTATTATTATTTTTTTTAGATTTATTTTTATTTTTATCCCTCCCTACCTTGCTTCCACTCGTCTGTGAAACAGCAGATCCAGTCTTTCTGGCTGCCGCCCTCCCCCTCTCTCCCTCTCTCCCTCTCTCCTAGCAGCTGCCTTCATTAACATGCAGCCCCTTGGCCAATGAGGCTGCGAGGGCTTTGTGACATCACGGGCTAGGGAACAGTAGGCAGGCAGTGAAGCAGGCAGGCAGGCTGCCGACTAAAGCCAGTGAGTCCAGGTTTGGGGGTCAGGAACCGGTCTGACCACAGAATGGAGAGTCTGTGCTTATACTAGGTTTCAGGAAAATATGCTGTGGAGGATGTACATGGAAAACAGAAGGAGGCTTCCACGGATACAGCCAGGGAATGTCAAGACATGTTTCAGGTGAGTTGCTTCTTCTCAATGGCTCTTTTTCTGTCTGCGATGACTCGAATACGGATGAGGGAGATAGAGGGAGAGAGAGAAAGAAAGAGAAAGGGAGGGTGGGAGCGCTTTTGCTCGGCTCTTAGCATACGGCCTTTCCAAGGAGGAGATGAAAAGGAAGATGACGGAGGAAAGAGAGAGAAGCTGTGTGTTAATACATTGTGTCGAGGAGATCCAGTTGTATCCTGGGGTTTGTTGCTGCTGTCAGCTGCCCCTGCCCCTGCCCCATTCCAATGGCAGATGCATCTTTGTTGATGCCACGAATTAATATTGTGTGTGTGTGTAATCATAGAATAGCGGCAAATGTGGAAACAAAAAGCACTGCTATTTTTGCCAATGAAATTCAAAGCTGCATTTGTTTTTATGTGGATGTATCCATTCCAAATGATGAATCTTGCTCCTTGTTTCATTGGTGCTACAGCTGGATAGATGCAGAAAAGGGTGGCTAGATGGTTCAGTAGACAGACTGATGTCATTGGTGGTCGTATACGACCTTTTGTTAGACTGCACATGTCTGGATTTGGGTCTTTTATATAGAACGCTTCAGGATGATTTTTTTTTAACACCTGCCAAGCCTGCGCAGACGCACAAGAGCACGCACACACACACACACACACACACACACGTTGTGGTTTCATGGTTTATGGTGACTTTCCATAGACATAATGATTTGTATACTGTACAAACTGTATGTTTTATCTCCATACACTAACCCAACCTCCAAAACTTTCTGTATTTTAACATTTTTCGAAAACATCACAGTATGTATGCTGTTTACCTCATGGGGACCAAAAAATGTCCCCACAAGGACTTGCCATCTTTGTAGGGGCATTTTGTCCCCATAATATAGGGTTTACCAGACCACACACTCACAGATACACATTTTAGGACATTCCTTATAGATGTATTTTTTTTAGATATAGAGTATTAGAAAGAAAGAGCTATGACCAGTGATCGTAGATCTTTACTGGGTGGAGGATGGCAATGGCATTGTGGGGGATTTCATTCATTAACATATGTGTCCTGTGGGATAGGGGTGTTATATGTGTGTGAGTGGTGGAGTGTGTGATCATGTGTTGGGGCTTGTACAAAGACCTGACAGCTACACTAATTATGCAGTAATTAGGGATGCACAGGCATTGGGAATTTGGCCAATAACGATAAACCCAAAAATTAGATTAGGTTATGGTTGATCACCATATGATGGCAGATAACCTGTATCTTTTTATCTTTATTTTTTATTTGAATTTTGTGAAACTACACATCAAAACATTATAACTCATTATTTTTGTAAAAAGGTTAGTTATGTTTTAGGGCAATGGCAAAAAAGTGGGTGGGGGGTAAAGTGATTATGCATCAAAAACATGATGCATAATAGAAAAGATAGAGGGTCTGCTATAAATGACTGCTGTTTAAATTGTAAAGGCAGTTTTATCTGCTTCTAACATCTACGTAAACAAACTTGATTAAATACATATTTCTATTGACTGCTAATTGGCCATATTGTGCATCCCTATATCTAATTTACAGCACACTATAATAGACACTACAGTACAGAACACCTCTTCAAGGAAGAGGAAGAGCTCCTGTACAGAGAATAATGCTTTGTTTTGTGTGGGGGTTTCCCTCTCATAACACTTCATTTGTTTGTTGGTTCATATGATATCATATTCTGTGTGTTCCCTGTTATATGTATTCATCCGTTGAACTACAACCCTAGCCCTGTTTCTCTTACAGTAACTGAAGTAGAACGTGTATAATGAGCAAAAGAAGCCAGGTCAGCACAACCATAATAACAAGAAACTGGGAAGCACTGTGTGTACCTTTAGATGAGGTTGACGTTAACAGAACCTAAACCATCATCTGATTCAATTGCTGTTTATAGACATTTGACATCCTCTTGCTAAATTGAGAATAGCATCTGCAGTTTTTATTTCCAGGGGCAAATATGGGTAGTCTTTTATCCATATTTGTTAATTGTGATTACTCAGTTCTACATTGTTTTTAAAATTGTAATCAAAATTATCCCTGAAAAAAAAATAATTTATTTCTCATAATTGCTAATTTATTTTGTTTTGAATTGCAACTTGTCAAGGTACTGATCATTTTTTTTAAAATATAAATGCATAAATAAATGTTACTGACAATTATTGGCACACATTTAAGCAGTTTTTACTGTTGATATCTCTTTTACTTTTTTCAATATTGTAAGCCTAGCAGTCTATGGAAGCTTGTTTCAAATTCCGCCACTGAATATAAAAATAAAATAAAAAATTGTGACTTTTTTTTCTCACAATTGCGAGTTTATATCTCGCAATTATGACTTTATTTTTCAGAATTGTGAGATAAAAAGTCAGAATTGCGTGATATAAAGTCAGAATTGCGAGATATAAAGTCACAAATCTGAGAAAAAAAGACAGAAGTGCGACTTTTTATCTCACAATTCTGACTTTTTTTCTCACAATTGCGAGTTTATACGAAATTCTGACATCTTTTCTCAGAATTGTGAGATACAAACTCGGAATTGCGAGTTATCAGGCCAATTCTACTTTTTTCACTTTTTTCGACCTCAGAATAGTTTATATCTCACAATTCTGACTTTATATCATCAATTTCTGACTTTATATCACGCAATTGCGACTTTGTATCTAGCAATTCTGACTTTATATCACGCAATTCTGACTTTAAATCTCGCAATTGCGACTTTATATCTCGCAATTCTGACTTTATATCATGCAATTCTGACTTTATATCACGCAATTCTGACTTTATATCACGCAATTCTGACTTTATATCTCGCAATTGCGACTTTATGTCTCGCAATTCTGACTTTCCATCTCGCAATTGCGACTTTATATCTCGAAATTCCGACTTTATATCACGCAATTCTGACTTTATATCACGCAATTCTGACTTTATATCTCACAATTACAACTTTATATGACGCAATTCTGACTTTGTCTCGCAATTCCGACTTTCCATCTCGCAATTGCGACTTTGTATCTAACAATTCTGACTTTATATCATGCAATTCTGACTTTATATCTCGCAATTGCGACTTTATGTCTTGCAATTCTGACTTTATATATCTCGCAATTGCGACTTTTTATATCTCGCAATTGCGACTTTATATGGCGCAATTGCGACTTTATATGACGCAATTCTGACTTTCCATCTCGCAATTCTGAGAAATAATGTCAGAATTGCTAGAATTAAACTCGCAATTGTGAGATAAAAAGTTGCAATTACCTTTTATAATTTTCATTATATGGCGGAAACAAGCTTCCATACAGTCAGAGGCGCTGGTGATCTGGCCCTATTAGCCCAAGCCATGCGCTATCCTTGACTGAGAGCACTGCATCACTCATTCATAGGCCCCTCAACTGATTAAAAATCCACAGCAGGGTCCTGATAGATGGCTGTTGTTTTCATAGCATAGATTTTAAAATGTGTAAACATTTGTCAGACATCAGGACGCGGTATTTCTGGAGCCTAACCCAGCATCTCTGGCCGAGGGCAGGAAAACACCCTGGATGGCCTGTCCATCACATGACTAACACACACAGACATACACACTAACCAACTAGCTCACATGCACCACCAATTCATATTGAAGCCTTTTAAAATGAAATGATGCAAACCACAATCTTAAGTGATATGAAATTTTTGGATTTTTTTTTTTTCAATCATCATATTCATCATAGTCTTTATTTGCGATGCTGTATGTTTTAAAGTAAATGTTTCTTCTGTGATTTAATGTTTAAACTTTAGCGGAGCTCTTTATGTAACCCCATGGAGTCTGTGTGTATGTGTCTCTAGTAATGTAGCAAAGGTCAAGGTTTATTGGACTGGGGATTTTGTGGATAGATTGCCCTGTGGATACCGGAGGCAAATATTTATTATGTGTAGAGTGAGTGATGGGGCTAAATGTGTGTGTCAAATGCGAATTTGTGTGTTGGAGGATTTTCTCAATAGGATTTTTTTTTTTTTTTGGGGGGGGTTGGGGGTACTACAGGCTATATATATATATATATATATATATTTAATACCCAGCTGTGTTACCCAGCTATTGGGTTAACGGCTGGGTCTCTCACTGACAGATTTAATACACCCCTCCCCCACCCTCCGACTTAACAACCCAGCAGCAGTGTTACTACAAACCATTTTGGCTTTTTTGGGAAAGAGCAGGAGAGAGCAGTTCTCAGCGCTGCCCAAAATAAGTACAGTTCATCTGTGAAATATAAGTGTCTGTGCTTTGCTTTCATTGTGTTTTGTTCCTGTCTTCACCTAGTTACTATTCTGTGTCAGTTTCATTCAGTTTACCTGTTGCTCATTTATTAGCTCATTAGTTCCTTGTTTGATCTTTATGTGTGTGTGTGTGTGTGTGTGTGTGTGTGTGTGTCACTTTCCCTGTTTGGTCCAGTTAGTTCTTTGTCCCATCTCGTTATTGTAAGTGATTGTATTTTTTTCCTTTTCTCCCGTGTCTGCTCTGTGTGGATTTATTAAAAATTGTTATTCTCAATTCTCCTTTTTCTTCGCACACTTTGTACAGCCGCACGTGACATTAAGGTTTGTATCCTTTTCATTTAATCTAAAAGTCTTTACTGTGTTGTAAATTTTGTTTTGCGCAACACGGGGCGAGATATCACTCAGCAGAACATGTTAGTCATGATGTAAACGCCTTTTTCCTTGCATAAAATAAACTGATTTTATTTGTTATAATACTGAATCTAATTATTTGCATGTTAATATGTTCCCAGAACTCAGTACTGCATGTTTGCTTATGGGTTAGGTTATAAGGAGTCAGGTGCAGATTTTTCCAAATCACTATCACAGCACCATTTTAGTGGAAAAAGAATAACAGCGAGCGAATCGTTGATTACACTTGAAATAAAATGTTACTTTTAAATGTTGATCGCTTGATTATAAAATGTTTGTAATCAAGTTTAAGTGTAGTTTAT